TACCTTCTGCATGAGCCTACCATGGGGAACCTTATCAAACACCTTACTTAAATCCATGTAAACCACATCCACTGCTCCACCTTCATCCACGTGTTTGGTCACCTCTTCAAGGAATTCAATAAGGTTTGTGAGGCATGATCTACCCCTCACAAATCCATGCTGACTATCACAAATCATACTGTGCCTTTCCAAGTGATCATAAATCCTGTCTCTCAGAGCCCTTTCCAATAATTTGCCCACCACTGACGTAAGACTAACTGGTCTGTAATTTCCGGGGTTATCCCTGTTTCCTTTTTTGAACAAGGGAATGACGTTTGCCTCTTTCCAATCTTCTGGCACTACACCCGTGGACACTGAGGACAAAAAGATCATCGCCAAAGGCCCTGCGATCTCGTCCCTCGCTTCCCATAGAATCCATGGATAAATCTCATCAGGCCCAGGGGACTTGTCTATCTTCAACTTCCTCAGAATTCCTAGCACATCTTCTTTACTAACATCAACCTCCTCTAGCCTACCTGCCTGTTTCACAACGTCCTCCTCTACAACTAGGTCCCTCTCAGTTGCGAATACTGAAGAAAAGTATTCATTAAGGACCTCTCCTATCTCTTTAGGCTCTGCGCACAAATTCCCTTCACAATCCTTGATCGGCCCTACCCTTTCTTTGGTCATTCTCTTGTTCTGCACATACGTGTAAAAAGCCTTGGAGTTTTCCTTGATCCTATCCGCCAAGGTTTTCTCATGCCCCCTTATAGCTCTCCTAAGCCCTTTCTTAAGGTCCTTTCTGGCTAACTTGTATCCCTCTAGAGCCCTTTCTGTTCCTCTTTTCCTAAACCTTACATAAGCCTCCTTCTTCCTCTTAACCAGTTGTTCGACCTCTCTCGAGAACCATGGCTCCCTCACTCGACCGCATCTTCTCTGCCTGCTAGGGACAAACATATCGAGCATGTGCAGTATGCATTCCTTAAACAATCTCCACATTTCTGTGGTGCACTTCCTTGACAGCATCTTTGAGTTTGTTTTTTACACTCATGAGACATCGGCATTGCTGCTGGCCAGCGTTTATGGACCGTCTCTCGTTGCCCTTGAGAAGGTGCTGGCGAACTGCCTTGGAATCACAGAATCCCTACAGTGTGGTAGCAGGCCATTCAGCCCATCAAATCCATACCGAACCTCCAAATAGCATTCCACTCAAACCCACCCCTCTACCCTATCCCTGAATATCTCACATATCCCATGGCTAATTCACCTAACCTGCACATCCTTGGACACTGTGGGTAATTTAGCTTGGCCAATTAACCTAACCTGCACATCTTTGGACAATGCAAGGAAACCGGAATGCCAGAAGAAACCCACGCAGACACGGGGAGAATGTGCAAACTCCACACGCACAGTCACCTGATGGTGGCATCAAACCTGGGTCACTGACGTTGTGAGGCAGCAGTGTTAACCACTGAGCCACCATGCTGCCCTGATCCGCTGCAGTCCATGTGCTGTAGGTTGACCCACAATGCCCTTATGGTGGGAATTCCAGGATTTTGATTCATTGACAATGAAGGAACGGTAATATATTTCCAAGTCGGCGTGGCTTGGAGGGGAACTTGCAGGTGGTGTTCCCAAATATTTGCTGCCTTGAACTTCTAGATGGAAATGCTGATGGGTTTGGAAGAAGCTCTCTAAACATTTTTGGTGAATTTCACTGAGTTTTAGATCTTCAGGAAGGTGGGTGGATACCTAAAGTCTATATGAACCTTGAGGGAAAGTCTGTTGTTGAGTCAGGAACCTTTTGATAAGTATGTTTAAAAGAAATTGCCAACTTCAAATCTCATAATTAGATGAAGGATTTTAGTTTTCAATCGATGGTTGATTGTAATGAACTCCATTTCTAGCATTCTGTAAGAATATGACCTTCAGGATATGCTCAGTTCCAAGGATGCTATATTTTGACTGTTTCAATAGTTGGTAACATTGACTTCTTAAAAATTCATTCATAGGATAAGGATGTCACTGGCTAGGCCAGCATTTATTGCCAATCCCTAATTGCCCAGAGGGTAGTTAAGAGTCAACCACATTGCTATGGGTCTGGAGTCTCATGTAGGCCAGATCAGGTGAGAATGGCAGATTTCCTTTCCTAAAGTACATAAACAAACCAGATGGGTCATTAGTGGGGTTTTCCTGACAATTGGCAGTAGTTTCATGGTGACCATTAGACTCTTATTTCCAGATTATTATTTGAATTAAAATTCCACTGTTTGCCATGGCAGGATTTGAACCCAGGTCCCACAGCATTACTGGGCCTCTGAATTAATAGTCCAGTGATAATACCACCAGGCCATCACCTTCCTATCTAATCCACCCAGCAACAGGGGACAGACTTATTGCAAGGTTTTCAATAGTTCACTGAGGACAGTTCAGGTATTACTGAAAAGCAGTTGAAAGGTCACATGCAGTGAGTGAAGATGTCAGACAGATACAGAATAGACACCATCTTAGGAGTGCTGGAGTTAGCTGCACTGCTGGGAAGTAAAATATACATGATCTGTGTAGGGGACTCGGGGGTGGGGGTGGTGTCAAGAACAGTAAGAATGTTGTTAGAATTCAGGAAAAGGTTCCATGTATTAGTAGGCAATTAAGTGTTGGAGTAGACCTGGGGGGCTGAGAAAGTGGAAGGTTGCCAGCTCTTTGCTGGTGGAAGACTGATAGATTTTTGAGTACTTAAGAGCAGCAACATTTTTTTTAACCAAGTAACATGTTTGATTGACAATTTTTTGAGCTATGGAGAGTTTTCTTTGCTCCTAAGTGGAGTTTGAAATAATTGATTGTTTATTAAATAATTGCACACGCATTTCAAAGAATTCCTAGTGTTAATATATGGTTAATGAGCTCTGTCTACTGTGAATAATGGTGCACTAAATTTTGTAAGCTGTTGAGACTCTTTGGCGAAATGGACAAACCAAAAGCCATGCTTCATGCTGAGCTTTGAAAAATACTTTGCACCAGTAAACTCAAGGTTTAACTCAAAGGTGATTTCATATGCAGAAGCTGCTTCAGGGCAGTGAATGAAGGTATTATATTTGTTATTTCTCTTCCGGTATCTAAGGAATTTTTGAAGATTACAACCAATTCCTCTACAATGTCTTTTTAGATCCAAATCTACTATATCTACAATATCGCCAATTTCAAGACTACTGGTTCTCCATCATAACTGCATCTTTGAAGTTAAAGAAAACTTTTCTTCAATAAGTTTGTAGAAGACCAAAGTACAGGGGCTTATTCTGATTTTACTGAAAGACTATTGAAGACTATGATGTTATATAAAGACAACGTCTTTATTTTTCTGTATTTTCGATTGTGGACTGAAGTGGGAGAAGAAATGTTATAAAAATCAAGGCTTGTTGAGGTACTGTTGCACTTTTTAAAAGCAAGTAAGGTGAAACTCACTGCAAGTGCTATTTACACAGCTGGTGGTTCAAGTGGTACTGGATGGTTTGCAGATGATCTGGAGCCGAGAGCTGTGTACAAATGGAGGTTCAACTGGCAAGTTGATTAGTCCGTGGACTAGCATCCAATTATCAATGACAAAGGCCCCTCTGTCTACCAAGAATGTGATCAGTTCCCAGGTACATGAACAGCTTTGGGCTGCAAACAAGCTAGTAAGAAGCCATCAGATCTCTGCAAGTCTAGTCTCTGCAAATCCAGGAGCTGTCTCTGTTCTCTGCAGTAATAAATATTTTAAGGCTGAAGAAAACCAGTTTATTTTTTTTTCATCAGTTGCTGTAAGGCATGACTTTTAATTAATAAGTCAGAGACCTTTATAAATGTGAACCTGTCTCCTGCAAACAAGTGAAAGCATCCAGAGAAGGAAACCATCTCAGCAAACCCTGTGCATAGGAATCATCGTACTACCTTCCCTGTGTTTCCCACTATATTTCCTGTCTATGTCTGTCTGTAATGTGTGTGTGTAAAGGGGTGTTTGTAATGGGTAGTTCTTGTTATGTGCCATCTGTTCACAATTGTTTATCTGTGGCTAGAGTTTATTTATTTGCAATAAACAGTACATCTTGATAAGTACAGTGTGGAATGCTCTGCTAGAAAATGTGGTGGAGGCAGATTCAATTGAGGCACTCAAGAAAGCATTAGGTAATTATTTGGATAGAAATGGCATGCAGAAACGTAGGGAAAAGACAGGACATTGGTGTTAGGGCATACAACCGGTGCAGACACAATGAGCTGAATGGCCTTCTACGCTGTAACATATCTGTGATTTAGATATCTGGTTCATTGGGCAATCAGGGCACTTTTAAAATAAACCTTTAATTTTTGTGATGATTCCAGGAATTACTGGGCTCAGTTTTCAGCATTGGTAGACCAGTGAACCATAACAGTTAGGAAATGGCCATTTACTAACAAAAATAAGGATGCTTCGTAGCATGATTTGTAAACATCTAAATTTTAGATTGCAACTTCAACTATTGAATATTTATTTTTCTATTTACACGAGTCATGGGCTTCGCTTGTTGGCTGGCCAGCCAGTATTTATTGCCTATCCCTTGTTGTCCTTGGGAAAGTGGTGGTGAACTTTCTTCTTGAACTGCTGCAATTCCTCTAGGTAACCCACAATGCCCTTAGGGATGAAAATCCATGATTTTGATTCAGCGACAGTGAAGAACACCAATATATTTTCAAGTCAGGATGGAAAGTAGCTTGGATGGGAACTTGCAGGTAGTGGTATGATCTGCAGTTCCGTAATTAGCTATTGACTTACCTGTTCTAATGTCTGCTGCTGAAGTGAGCACAATTGAACCAAGGAACTTTAGATCTTCAGTCAAACACTCTCTCAACTGAGCTATTTTAGCTCTTGTATGGTATGATGTAAATAATTATTCTTATTAACCTATTTGGACAAGTTATGACACATCCCTGTGGCCAGCACTTCAAGTAGGACTTGAACTTGGACCTTTGAGCCCAGAGGTAGGGACACTACTACTGCATCACAAGACCCTAAAAATGTATAAGACCACAAATTTGCATGTTATCCTGGCATAGGAGCCATGCTAATGTTCTCTGTAACATTTCAATATTCTTGTATATGTGCCGCTGAAGAAGGTACAATTGAACAACAGACCTTTACATCTTCCATTAGTTTCCCACCAAACAGCTTTTCCAAACATCAAAACATCCATGGTATTTTTCACCACCAGTAGATCACCTATGTTTCCAATTGTTCAATTTATGTGCAGAGCCCATTAAACACCAAAGTGGAGAGACAGGTAGGGATAGAGGGAGAGGGATGAATCAAAATGAAGTCGGAAGGGGAGAGAAGGCACCCTATCACTTGCCATGCTCACCTTTGGTGCGTTGATTTGCTGATTAAATGGGAATTGAAGGCACATATTAGCAGTGATTAATCACTAGATTAGTACAATAGATCACCTCATAGTGCAGCCATTAACCCCATCCCCTTTCAGTAAAAGTTTGAATTATTTTTCCCAGTTTGGATACTGCTTTTTCAATATCAGAAGCTTATTCATTTTCGGATCTGTATGATGAACTTCAGAATTTGCATTTGCTGCAAGCTTCCCCATGACCCATGATATCCCCAAATTCTTCACCATCTTTACTATATTGTTATCCCTGATTCCCCAATGACCCCCACGACGAACCCCTTACCCTTGACTGCACATCATGCATGATGTTGAGGCTTGTAGGCTTTGAAACTTTATGATTTGCCAGTGCAGACACAAAGTTAGGCTGATTGATGCCAATGTGCGCATCAGGTAACAGGGATGATCTTGTTGGCCCTGTATCCTCCACATGTTGCAGCCAGAGTGACCATGATTTACCTTGATAATTCCTTTCAGACAATCTAATCTCATTCCCCAATTTACCAGACTCCTTCCCCACTATACTCAACTGCTCCCTAGAACTATACAATTCCTCAGCTAGCAAATACAATCAGGCCGATACCAAGACTTGAGCTATCCATAGACTCAACACCACAATAGGCAGACCCCAGAAACACCCCAGATTACGTAAAACCTAGCCCCTGATTTTCTAAATCCATTTCCTAGTGCTTTACAGGACATGCCTGACTAAAAATTGCCCTCTCCTGAACTGATTGCACAAGATGACTGGTCTGAAATAATTTTGCTCAGTTTCTAGTGCTGATGATGGTCCAGTGCCTAGACTGAAATATGTCAATCACTGGACTTGAACTGGACCAACCATCTCACTGACCATGGCCAAGTCCCCATCCAAAAGTGGCTCAAACCCTGGATGGACTATAGAAATACACTGTATCTGAAGTTTTGCCTACTAACTATGCCTCTCCTTTCTCATTCACACATCTCAATGCTCTTCATGCACACACAATGTGCTTGCCACATAAAGTGCAGGCACATGCATCACCTCTGATGTTGATGCAGCACTGTGCCCTTCAGTGATATATGCACCTTCACAATAATGCTTCACTGTTTCCTACAGCCACATGCTACTGCCTTGCTTTCTGTGTCAAAGTATCCCAATCTTCATAAGGTGCCTACTTGTTTTCGGTGCTGTAGTGCCAGCGTGAGACATAAGCTGTTGAATGATTGTGTCTGCTAAAATGCCACCTGTAAAGTAGAAGCTGACACATTGCCATTCTCTAGTTGGTTCCATGATAGCCAGGGATTTATCTGCCTTGGCCTCCGTGAGTTATAGAAGTTACTGAAGTTATAGAAGCTACACCACCAGTGAAGACAACCAACAACCAACAATTTTTTGCTAGAGGCAGCCAAATCTATGGATTCACCTGTACTGGAGGCAGAAGACGAAACACAACAGGAACAGATATTTTTAATAAGCCTGATCAGATTTGTCATGACACACCTCTGCAGAAGGTTAGACTTGAACCTGGGCCTTCTGACTCAAACGTAGGAACTTTACACCACTGCATTCAATAAATATACATTTGGTTTATGCTATTGAGTTTGTGAAGAATTGATTACTTCAATTGGACAGACGTTAATTGGGAAGGGGAAATCATTTCCAGCAAGTTTACAAGTAGTAAGATGCAAATGCATGCAGATAGGCTTCTCACCTTCTGATGGCAATAAAGTTCTCAATATCTAAGGAAAGCGGACATAACTGCAAAAGAGAAACTTGAAATTAAGAATCTGACTTTACCCGATTAAGTCATCAAACCGGTTGTTCTTATCACCTTAGGGCTTGGAAAATTGTGCTCTAAATATTGGTTTCTGTCATAATCAATAATCAACTCAAAATACACAAGCCACTACAGATGAGATCCATGGTTTTCATTCAGTTGAAGAACCTAAGACATTGTTTCTATCCAAACTCATTAAGAATATATGCTTTACTACAAATATTTACCACAACAGCTTGTTTTGAACCACACATTGTCAATTAAACTAGACTAGGTTAAGAGAGGTGACAACTGAATTCATGCACAGAATGTAATAAATAAAAATGGTGAGCTGCAGCAACCTTATTTATGACTCTTATGCTTTTACAGAATGGTTTGATCAATTGATTGGTCTGTGTGATAAAATGCACCAGTGAAGACAAATGCATTATCCTTTAGCTATTAGCAATTATATACTAGAGAGTCTGATAACTATTTATGTCAATGCTTTACCTCGTCTAAATCAGTGAATTTGTTTAAGTGCTGAGTTGTATAGAATGATCAGGAAAGTACTCTAACGACTACTCACTTCAGCACTTCTCTCAATATTCTAAGTTCTTGTTGCTCCAATTCACTGATTTTGTCCTTTCCATCTGTTAAACAATCAGGTAGAACTCCTGCCAAGGAAAAACAAAAACTTTTTACAATCAATTTGTAACACCTTACTTTGAACTCTTTTGCCATTATAATCTCAAGTCTTTGAACAGCAGTTCAATATATTACCTGTAACAGTACATAATAAAAAAAATTCAGCTGAGAAAATTAATTAATTGCGATTTGTCACATTAAAATAGTTCATTTAAATGAAAACAGGAACTGTTTAGGTATTATTTCACCATTTTAGCAGATAAGATCCAATCCATGCAAAACCTATATATGATTACTGCATTATAAATTTTCTTTTCATATTCCATGCAGGTTCTCTAATTTAAGGAGTGACACATTCCTTCCTTTACCCTCTTGGAGAGTGAAATGGGTTCAGAGGTCAGAGATCAGAGATTGGTGACGCAAGACACCAGAGTGCAAAGTGGTTTGGAGGAAATCAAAAAGCCACAGTGAGAGGAAGGATGGTGGAAATGGGGAAGGGGAATGAGATTGAAAAGGTCAAAAAGGAGATCTGAAAGGTAGAATCGGCAGATAATCAGAGGCTGATGAAGAATATGCGTAGAAACTGAGGGAGATCAGAAATTGCAGCTGGGGAACACAGAGGGAGGTAAGGATTAGAAAGGCATGAGTGAAGGCCAGGTCACTGAAAAATCAGATGGCAGGAGGGATCCTATCACCAGGTGAGAAGGAGTGTTATCATAGAATCCCTACAGTGTGGAAGCAGGCCATTTGGCCCATTGAGTCCCACCCAGAACATCCCACCCAGACCCAACCCCTACCCTATCCCTGCACTTCCCAATCTAGACACTATGGGCAATTTAGCATAGTCAATCAACCTAACCCGCATATCTTTGGACTGTGGGAGGAAACCGGAGCACCCAGAGGAAATGCACGCAGACACAGGGAGAACGTGCAAACTCCACACTGACAGTCGTCGAGGCTGGAATCAAACCCGGATCCCTGGCGCTGTGGTAACCATTGAGCCACAGGGTTACCTGTTGACCAAGCACAAGTTATGTTTGATGATCTGGAGGTAGTGGGGTAAGCAATTGTGGCTCTTGTGGTCTATAAGCAGTGCTGGAAAGTCACTTATAATCTGGATCTGTTAGACCTCCCTCCTCTTCATATACTGTGTTTCCAGAGGCCAAGGAAACATGCTGCATACAGCAGAATTCAAACTAGTGCTTGAAGTAACAATCTGTAACCTGAGAGCTACCACGTTGCCTGGCCCCTGCCATGTGTGCTCCATGGAAACTGGAAGTGGGAGGTCTGTGTCTGCCTTTGAGATTTTTATTATTTTCACATCCTAAGCAACTCAAACATTCTGTGGATTAAAATATCTCCTGCCATCTCTTTTGACTCCAGTAACCCACACTGATGTTAAACTGACAGGTCTATAATTACCAAGATTTTCTCTGGCTTTCTTCATAAATAATGCAAAAACATTTCCAATCCAGAGGCACATATCCCGAATCTAAAGAGCTTTTCAAAATTAAGACTAATGAAGCTGCGTGTTTTTCATCAGTTTAGTATCCTGATGAAAAACATCAGGTGCTGGAGATTTGTCAATCAAGAAGTAACAATAAATTTATATAAAGTTTTTGTTAGTACACAGTTTGGAATAATGTGTGTAGCTTTGGGCAAGCATTTTTAAAAATGACATTAGAACTGTAGAAGACACACAAGGTAGACAGATGAAATTGATGCCTAGGTTGAAAAACAACAGTTGTAAAGAGTTCAGATACCAGAATTACTCCCCTGGAGGAAAGAAAGCAAAAAGGAAGATCTACGAGGGTTTAAAATTATGTAAGGTTCCTGCAGGGTATATTACTAATTCGGGAGTCAATGATGGAAGGTAATTGAAATAAAACCGCCACTAGGAAAGGACCTAAAATAGCTTATCACAGCTGAGATAGTGTATCTTTTATAATTTTTGAAGTAGAGGTAGAGGTACATCAATAGATAGATAGGAAGAGAGATGTTAGTTTTGGATTACTGTAGCAATGGGCCGAATGAAGAGACCGAAAATTTAAGGGTTTGTTCAATATTTTTTCCTTAAAGGTTATCAGTTTTAATTTAGAAAAATTTAAAATAGCATGTTTTGTTTAGATTGCAGCTGTAGCTAATGTTCGTGATAATGACCTGAGGATCTTAGAACTGAGATATTTGGCTAGTGCAGTTCACAGGGACTTTTGCAGTAACAGTTTGTCGTGCATTTAGTTTACTTTTATTTTTGATATTTATTTCTTGTTTTGCTCATCTTTAATTCATTTGTATATGCAAAAATGTAACTTTATATATCACTTAAAATTCACAATATC